CGGCACGCTCGCCGCCACCGCGCCGCCGGGAAGCTGAGGCTTCAGGAAGGAGGGAGGTGCGCGCTCCGGGCCCGCCAGTCTCTGCAGTCCGCCGCATTGTGTCTGTCCTCGGGGCGTGCAGGGGTTCGAGGGCGCGCCCCACTCCCGGGCAGCAGTGTCCGGACCTCGCCACGCCAGTCCGGAACCCTGGTGCACACTCCCTGGTGGGCGTGGACTGAGACCCGGGGCTCCGGCCTCCGGGCCGGAATGAAACCCACCCTTCGCTCCTCAATCCCACCCACCCCTGGGCGAAGAAACCCCCCTCCCCGAAAGCCCCGCCAGAACCTCAAGGAAAGGCCAAGCGAGAAGACAATGTGGGTAGCTCGCCCCCTACAGGACGATGAGGTCCGTCGGGGCAGCCCTCCTGCACCCTAGCAGGACTAGCCGTGGGGACAGTTTGGGATGCAGTCACAGGGGCCTTGTAGTGTCTGTGCACCTCCTCACAGCTTTAAGGAGTCTGGTAAAGATGAGTTTTATAGAGTTAGCCAGAAACCACAAGGTGTAAGGCCGAATGGGTACTCAGACCTATGTCCTTTGACTTGGAAGAGTACTTCCAGCCCCTAGTGAACATCGTGTTCCTTAAACTTGTACAATTAGGGGTAATCCCGGTTACTTGTAAACAGGTTTAGGGTGCTAGGCCAGGCTTCATCCTACGAAGATCACAGAACGCGCTGCAATGATATTGAAGTGGGGAAAGTGGGGACCAGGGAACTAGAGGTCGAGTAAGAGAAGAGGGGGGTTATTGTACCTGATGGTTCTATGAGAAAGTACTGCCGACAGCAGCTGGCCGGTCACAGACCAGACTGGGCCAATAAAACATCTGAATTAATACACATTTTCGTTTATAGCTCATAAGGAAATTCTCAGCTGTATTCAAAAATCCAGAGGTTCTGAAGACACCAGTCGAAAATCACACCCTGTAACTCCACCAGGCATGTGGCAGGGTTACTGCTGCCGCCAACAATACAGCCTAGAGAAACTTTTACAAGAGACCTTTTGTGTGTCTGAAAAGGAGGGAGTGTGAGAGACGTCGGAAACCCAACGTGGGAGACAAAAGTGGTCTCCTGCCGCCGCAGGACAGTAGACCAGTCAATCATGTTAAAGCTCCCATGCACAGATTTGCTGTATGAAGTGGCGGCTGGGGTCAGACATTATGTATGGCTTCTGGTATTCACTAGCAGTGTGTGTGAATGAAGCTCAGCCTTCAAAAATAGCTATGCCAGTGGGTAGCTTTCATTACTGGGCTAAGCAATAAATTGCAATCCCGAAACTGCATCTCTTGACCGCTTCCTATCTTTTCCTTCCTCTGCGTGTCTCAGGACTCCCGATCGAAGCTTATAGAACTCAAGGGTATTTGTTGTAGTACACCCTCCCCTACCTAAGGCCCTTTTCTGTTCCCTCTACCTCCTTCCCCACCTGTAAGTCCTTTTGTTCTTCCCTGACGTTGAAAATTAGTCCCTGTAACTTTCAAGGTTTTATTTTTGGAGGACTGGTCTCTGTGATGCCTTGAGAAATTAAGAGAAAATGATGTTTTCTTTGATACTTAATACTACACTACCAGTCGAACTAATCAGCATGTCTGTACACACACACACACACACACACACACACACACACACACACACACACAGAGTTTAAAGTTTAACTGTTGAACACAAATCAAGACGACACTGTCTATTGAACCTCCTGGGCAAGTGCTCTACCAGGGCTACTTCACTGGCCCTCATTTACATATTTCAGTGCATCGAGAGAAGGGAATACTGACATTGCTTTTAGAGGCCTGGACACCACTACATATATAAAAATCCCTGAAAAATATATTTTAAAAAATAATTCTTGCTGGGCAATGGTGGCACAATGCCTTTAATCCCAGCACTCGGGAGGCAGGCGGATCTCTGTGAGTTCAAGGCCAGCCTGGTCTTGGGGTGAGTTTCAGGATAGCCAAGGCTACACAGAGAAACCCTGCCTTGAAAAAACAAGTAACAATAGTAATAATTTTTTTATTTTTTAAACACACACACACATACACACTAACTTCATTGTGTGACTTTTTTAAATATTTATTTACTATGTCTGTGTGTATGCCTGAAGGCCAGAAGAGGGCACGAGACCTCATTACAGATGGTTGTGAGCCACCATGTGGTTGCTGGGAATTGAACCCAGGACCTTTGGAAGAACAGGCAATGCTCTTAACTGCTGAGCCATCACTCCAGCCCCACAATAGAAATAATTCTTAATAATCAAATTTTCCTGAAACTGAATTGAGGCAATATGTAATCTCATTTTCCCACTCCTAGCAGATATTTATGCTTTACCGTAAAATATAAATTCATTTGATTATAGAGTATTGTCCTAGACCCCTGTAAGGGTTGGTTCAAAATCTGTACCATGTAAACTATGTTACTTTTTAAAGTCTTAGAAATTCTGAACCCATATATAAAAGACTGTAGTCCTATTGTTTTAACTTTGGTAGATTGGCCTGTTTTTGTTTCTATGATGGACCTGAGGCTGGGGAGTTTATAAGGAGAGGAGGTTGCCTGGGATGCAGCCCAGAGGTCGAGTACTAGTGCTTGTCTGGAGTGTGCAGGGCCAGGGCTCATCTCCAGCACGGTAAGACAAGAGAAACAGCAAGAGAGGTGAGGAAGGAAGGAGCTATTCAGCTCTTAGTTTTATCAACTTGACGCAAACCTAGAAAGAGGGAATCTCAACTAAGGAACGGCCTCCATTAGATTGGACCGTGAGCATGTTTGTAGGGCATTTTCTCGACTGCTAATGGATGTAGGAAGACCCAGCCCCCTGTAGGCAATACTGGCCCTAGGCAGGAAGGCCTGGACTATATAAGAAAGGGGTTGCATAGGCCAAAGAGAGCAAGCCACGAAGCAGCATTCCTCCATGGTCTTGACTTCAGTTTCTGCTGTAGGAGGAGGCCGCTAGTTAGTTCCCGGCTGCTTAGCCCCAAAATAATCACACAGAAACTGTATTAATTAAATCACTGCTTGGCCTATTAGCTCTAGCTTCTTATTGGCTAGCTCTTACATATTAATTTAACCTATTTCTATTAATCTATGTATCACCACATGGCTGTGGTTTACCGACTAAAGTTCCAGCGTCAATCTCCAGCGGGCTACATGACTTCTCTTTGATTCGGCCTCCTTTCTCCCAGCATTCAGCTTAGTCGTCCCCCCACCCCCGGCCTAGCTCTGTTCCCCTATAGCTCTGTTATAGGCCCAAAGCAGTTCCTTTATTAACCAATGGTATTCATAGTATACAAAGGGCCTCCAGGTTCCTGCCTGGTCTTTCCTGGTTGATAATCTATAGCCTGTAACTCAAATAAACCCTTTCCTTCCTTGGATTCAGAGTTTTATGACAACAGAAACCAAACTAGGACAGAGACCTGAGTCTAGGACCAAGCAACCCCATCCATCAACGTGGCCTCGTGGTAGGTGGTAGCGTAATGTTGACATCATGCTACCTGTAAGACTGATCACAGATTGTGAGCCAGAGAGTCCATTTATAGCTAACTCTCTCTAACAAGAACTAATGGAGGTCCCAAGAAAACTACCTTAATCGCTTCCACAGTGCCCTAATGATCTCCTACGTGGCCCCTCCTCAGTCCACCCCTACACCAAGGCTCCACCCTGTGACCCATTAGGGAACAAACCACATCCAAATAGTAGCAGGGCGGGCATGTTATCATCATTGGTGTTGGAAGACCAGAACTGCGCATAAGTTCATACCATTTTGTTTCAAATCAACTTCATCCTTGAGAGGTTATTTTTTAAAAAAACTAGATCCTTGCCAGGTGTTATTGCCATACCTTTAATCCCAGCACTCTGGAGACAGAGACCGGTAGATCTCTGTGAGCTTGTGGCCAGCCTGCACAGTGAGACCCTCTCTCAGAAATAATAACTAGATTGCTTTGAGCCTTTGAAGAGTTAAATGGTTCTGGATAAAGGCATGCAGGCCTCGGCAACACCACCAGCATCCTCATGATGGTGCTTCCTGGAGGGGAAACGGTGAACAGGTGGGGTCTTGTTGGAGAAGCATTTCTAGCTCGCTGTAAGCCTGTTCTCAAAGAGGATGCTGGGAGTATAGCTTCCACTCTCTCTCTGATTCCCCTCTGTCATAAGTGAGCAGCTTCCCTCCTCCATATTCTTCCACCATGATGTCTTACCTCATCATCACAGGCCCCAAAGCGGCAGGAAGTGATGGAGGACTGATTGATCCCTCAGATTCTGTGAGCCAATGTAAACCCTCATCCGTTAAATTAAATCATCTCAAGAAACCAAAAGGAAGAAAAATGGGAGGAAAGCCCACAGGCAGGAGGCCACTGAGACTGCCCAACAACTCATTTTCCAAAGGAATGTTCTGTTTCTGGCCGATCACAAGAACCCGAGATTTTTCACTCTCTGACCAAGGAGGAAAAATACGTTCTTAGCTCTGAATTCTCCCAGAGAGCTGGCTGGTTTAACACAGACCCTCCCAGCTCACTTGCTATTAGCTTGTATATGATTGCTCTTGGAATGAACAGATCTGTGCCCTGACGGAAATGTGT